CGGACTCTAGCCCTCATCCTGTTTTCACATCTCTTCTCTTCCACCTTTTAAGGATGCCATGAGTAACATGTAATTATCTGAACAATACAGGATAACATAATAGTACAGGATGATCTCCTTATTTAAAGGCCAGTAACCTATTTGTGTCTACAAGATCCCTTTTCATGTGAAAGGTTATATCACAGATTCTGGGACTCCAAATCTGGACATCTTCGGGGGACATGCTTTTCACCTAAAAGGAATTCTTGGGAGATAATGGCATCATAACTTTTCGATCTCTTCAATTCATGCAAAAAAGAATTGATTGATAATAAAAACGGAAACAATGTAACTAGTATGTCAGGAACTATGTGGAAAAGAGCAGTTGATGAGGGTAAACTATGAGGATCTCTATCCTTCCTCTGCCCCTCTAATTCTATATACTATATATACTATACTATATACTTTCTATCCACCATAATCTATTTTACCTGTTTGTATGAATAATTAAATAATGAATTCTGTTAGACAATAATTCTGACATATCTGTTTCATAGATAGCTTTAGGGCCTAGCCAATATCTAACCACTATCTTTACTTAATATGTATATTATTGAAGAAATTAATTGAAATATTATTTCCCCTAACTGCATATCTGTTCTTTCAGAGAGCAAGTCTCAAACTATTTTTGTTCTCATAGTTTGATGGGGCCTAAGATATGTCACCAAAACATATGACAGAAGGAAATGTGTCACTGTAAAATATGCCTCTCTGGCCTGAGGATTTTGTTTTGAGCTTGAGAAATGGCAGGCAAAGAAGCAACTATGGAAAGATGTCCTTTTGATCAGGAAATCTCTGTTCACCAGAAAGAAGACACCTTTACCCATTAAGCTCAAATGATGGAGAAGGCTTGGGCTTAAACCTGCATTTCATCTACACCTTTATCTTATTCTAGATTCTTTTCACTATCTTATCTTAACCAAGTCGTTCTCTCATGCTTTTCTTTATTATTATTTTTTTACTTCAACCAACTGCTATATTTAAGCTTGATGTTCATACTACTCCCCAGAGATGCTCTAGAGACTTACTCATAGATGTTATCTCCCACATATGTTACTGAACAGAATTCTGTCTTGCTCTGGTTAATCTGCCTATGTTACACAGAGCTCAGGATATACCCAGGAAAAAAATATGAGTCTTATTTTTTAGAGGAATATACTTAATAGTATGTGAATTTATAAGTGGCACTTAATTTGTGAAAAAATCACCTGCCTTTCTTTACAATCTCATTTACATCACGGCAGAATACATGGTAGGTATTCAAAAAATATTTCTTGGACTCCTCTTTGAGGACCCTCTCCAAATGGGGTCTGGTTACTTTCCTTTCACTTTGAAATAAACTTACTCTAGTTACCTTAAAGAAAAGATATGAAAATATCTGTTGAGGGAAAGTAATGAACCAGTCTTCTTGACAAAGATTATGCTAGGTGTCTTTGCTAAAGAAGGAGCTCTGGCCTGCCTATCAAATTCCTTATCTGAATCCTCGCTTCAGACAAAGATTCTCTCATCCCTGGAAAGTGGAAAACAGTGATTCTCACCTGGGGTAATCGCTGGCACCCTGATCAAAAAGTCAATATAAATGGATTCTACTACCAGCCAACCTACCATGATTCAATACTTTACCTCCCAGGACTAATGCTTTGTCACCTGTAAAATGTGAAGAAGCAGGCCTAGGTTGTTTTAGAAAGCTATAAATGATCACGTATGTCACATGTTAGTTCATTATTATTTTTTATCTTCTCTAGTGGTACAATTTCTGGTACCTCCAGCTACCTGACTTACTTTATATAAACATAAATTTAAGTACACCACTTTTCTGTTATAAACCCATCCAGACGTTTCTCTCAAGTCAGAATAAAATCTAAGCTCATCCTGGTTAAAATGCACCATCATGTGGCATCCCCTACCCTTCTAGCTGATAAACTACAATTGTTGACCAGCCAATCATACCTAGACTTCTCATTCAACCGCTGATATAGCATGCTTGCTCCAAACTCTTCCTTGGATGTATTCTGACCCTTCTCCATCAAATAGTCTCCCCTCAGAAATTCAGAATATTGGCTGTTTTGGGTAATTGGGGCCTGTCTCAGCGAGGCCTCCCCATCATGCAATGCCAGATATCTCCTTCCCTTGATGTCTATGTCCTTACACTGGCTTGTTGTTTTCCTGCCCTTTGGCCTGATGTGTGATGATATTGATCCGTGTATTCGTGGCTTCTGTTTCTATGGGTAGACTAAGTCCAATGAGGACAAAAATTGGCTCTTTTTCTTTTTCTGATTCCTAAATATCTAGAAAAGTGCCCAGCCCTGTGAAGCCACTTGATTTGCATATTGAAAACAGCAACCCCAAAATGTTGCTTTAGCGTTCACACCGACTGCCCCTGTGGTAAGGAAAGGTGTTGGGAGAAGCAGGTTGAAGAGCTTTCCCTGAGGCTCCCCTATCAACTGAAAGACCACACCCCAGTGGGGAGCACACTTTCCAATCTTCTCACTGAAATGTCGTTAAGCAAGGAAGATTACACTTGTATCGTAGAGGAAACTGAAAATAAAACAGCACCCCTAGAACCAGAGGGACTTTGCCCCAGTGCACTGTCTGTTCTCTGGGCACACTGCCACCCTTAAATTGGTCCTTGAAAACGGCTGAAGGTCCCCCTCCTCCACAGTCATTGCTCCCCTATGGAAGGAGAAGCTCAACTATCTGGACCTTCCTCGGGTTTCATATTTTGTAGGATTCCCATGAATATACGTATGCTAATAAATGCATTTATATTTGCATATAATACTTACATATGTATATGGAAACACATGTATAATTCCATTGCTCTTTGCATTCTGTTCTCCAAGGACCATTTTTAGATGATACACACGTTGGCGAAATCTGGTAGAAATAGGGAAGAAGTACATTCCTGAAGGCCTTTTGGTCTCAGAATGATTCCTTTTGTGAGATAACTGTGTGTTTCTTCAAGATTGCTCATTGGAACTTCAGTCTCTAAATGTTAGCTGTTGTCATGTGACCTATGAATTTGCCAGTGGGTCTTAGGGCCCCTCTTGTCCTTGTAGGAACTCCTCTGGTTATTAGCAATCAAAGTGCTCACTTAGAGTTCAGGGGGATATAGGGATACAAAGGGAGTCTTGTAGCCTTTTACAAGAAAAGTTTAATTTTATGAAAAAGCCACCTTCCTTCCTTCTCTCTCTTTCCGTTCCTCTTTCGAATCTTCCTCCTTTTCATCCTCCCTTCCTTCCCTCTTTCTTTATGAAAAAACAAGACATAAATTCTCCAGAATTTTAAACTCCTATGCTGAAAACATAATAAAAATAAAGGCAATCTATTCTGACCAAATTTGAGTCATGAAACAGAAAAATTGTCTTCACATCTTTACTATTAAGGAATGATGGGTTTTTGTTCAAGAGCTACAAATTACAAATAAATTTAAAATGGTGCTTGGTAAATACACTGAGCCATAAATTTCCTGATGCTTCAGAGAATGTTGAATTTGGGATATATCATCGTTGAACAATAGACTACCTAATCAGATAACTTGTTAATTAGAAAAAAGATGGGCTTTTTTCTGATTCTCACAAGAAGGCTTAGATGTTCATGCTTGTACTTGACCATTATAGAGGCCTACTTAGATAAAAACTGGAATACTAAGTCATTTCCCCAAAATATTGTTGTCACCTGATTGGGAGCATGTGACTACTTCCCTCTATCATCAATTTCCCCTCTACTGAAGCCTCTGTCTTTTTCCTCTGCCTTCAAAGTGAGAAAGAAGAATGCATTCCATTTCCTGCACATGCAAAATAGAATATTCTTTCCAGATTCAGGGTGATCAATTCTCTTTGACAATTACAGAGATTACTACAATGGGAAACATAAAAAATCTGGGGACCCACTGAAGCTTAATGCCTCTCCATATTTACTATGGCCTCCTCTTTGAAATCTACATTCTTGCCTTAATTCATAGCTAATAGAGGTCAGAGTCAGGGTTAATAGCTTGCAGCTAGCTACTCATTAAGTCATTCACTGATCATTAAAATACCCTGAAAGAGCTTGTGTTGAAGTTTTAACAGCAGCAATATATAGAGACTTGCTGTTCCTAAATACTAATAATGTTCTTTTATGACAATGAGGAAGTGTTTGCATCCAACAACTAACATTAATCTTGATTACCACTTCTGGTCCCTAGAAGTGAATTTAAAACAGAATTTTTAAAGAAAACTTTCACATGGATGGGACTTCATTATCAGAACACCCATAGTCTTCAGAACTCAAGAGTGAGATTTGAGGGATCCCTCCATCTTCTGAGTGCTCACAGAATCTTCTATGGGAAGCTACCCTGGCATCAGTAGATTCCTCTGATCCACCAATGAATGTCTACCCAACTCATTGCCCACCACATGGAGGACCAAGATGGCCTGGTGCCAGCAGGAATGATGAATAAACCTACCCCTTACCTGAATACCACGTGCATGGTGCTGTTCTTACTCGGCCACCTCTTTTTAAAAACCTAACAATACCCAACTCATTAATTGAGACTCTATGACCAAATGGCCCCAGAATGGGCCAGACACAATGCTGTGGAATCCATACTTCAGCCATTTGGACAAAAGTAATCACTGGTGCCCTGCATTTTGTTTATACATTTTTCTGATTTGGGGAGGGGAAGGGAAATAACAAAATGCTGAAATAAGGATACAGGTTGACCCATTGGAACAATGAGATGTACAAGATACTACATTGAAAACGAACTTTACAACTTGGTGTGGGGGGAGGGAGGAGTTGGGGAAGTGGGGAGAGAAGGGATGGTAGGAGAAAAACAAAGGAGGGGGTAACAATGCTCCATAGGAAATGTACTCATTACCTTACTCATATAACTGTAACCCCTCTGTACAGTGTCTTTACAATAAAAAATATATATAATCACATAGGGTCTATATGCAGCACCAAGAAAGGATCTCAAACCACATTGCAAACAATGTATATGTATAGTGACTTGTATAAACAAAGATATAAAATAATGCTGTAGACTGTCTCTTAACATATACTTATTTTTAAAGACATTTACAATTTGGGAGGGAGATGGGAACAATGTAGGAGTCAGAGTGTCAATGGTAGAGCACTAAACAAGTTATTACAACATTCTAAAGTAATCCAACACAGCATCATGAGTTTCTTGCCAAAAATAAATAATCCAAATCTAATCATAATGAAAGAAGAAAACCTCAAACTGGGAGGCATGTTACAAATTGAGAAGACATTTTTCTACTAACACATCCAGGTCATGAAGCAGGACCATTATCTAGCTAGATACCTTTTGCCAAACATCCTGTGCTGCCGTTGTCTTAAGAGTTAGGACTGGCCCAGGTGCAGGGTAACTGTGGGTACAGCAGCCCACAATCCCCTGAAACAACCTCCACAGGAACTCTCCCAAGGCGAAGCGTGAACCAGAAGCCTTGCCCATGGCTCATTTATAGCTTCAGTTTTATGGCTCTACCTCCTCTTGAACTGTCGTCTTGGGTCTTAGAACAACTTGTGAGGTACTATCCTTATTCCCTGAAAATATCAAAACATGAGAAAGCATGAGTAAGCACACTGTGTGAGAAGTGCCACAGACCAGACCATCATGGACCGCAGAAAGTGAAATACAGACCCTAGGCTACGTGAGTATGCTTGCAGACCACGGAGGAAATACGTGTGGAGGGCTGGGGAGTAGACTAAAGCTTCGGAGAAGAGTCTTTCAATTGAGAGACGTTAAACAGAGCTTAAAGTTCTCCTGGGGCTCTTGATATGATTTTAAAAGAAGAAGAAGAAATGTTCCCAAAGTACTATCTAATAGATGTATTAAATGATTCTGTTTAATGATTCAGCATAAATGTTAAAGGTTGTAGCAGCCATCTCAAGCTAAAGATAAGACAAGAAATGTAGATTTTTATTAGTATAAAAACACTTCTCCCAAAATGCTTATATGTGTGCCTACACAGACACTATATTTCTATACAATACTCATGGAGTATTCCTCACTACTCTCTGAGTAGTAAGATTGATGATAAGAGCGATGAGACCCCCTAAAAAAAGAACGGAAGCAGAGTGATTGATCTCGTTTGCATTTTGTAAAGAAGGAGAAAGCGAAGGGCGATGGAGCAGATGGAGGCATGGGCCATGCGGATGGAGGCGGTGGGCAGCTGACGTTGCTCATGGGAGGCTTGAAAGCACTTGGGCGACCACACTGGCTCCGACAAGAGATTTGGATTAAAGAAACATGTGAAAGGTCTAATCGGCAGGGCTCGATGACTCAAAAAGAAACAACTAACTCAATAGCTAAATAAGAAAACAGAGGCTTTTGCTGGCCAGTTAAACTGTCCAGTGGCTTTCAGCTTATAAATATCACCTTCCCATCCCTCCCCTTTTCCTTGTATGTTTTATATCTATGTAACTCCATGATTTGAAGACAGTGATGATTTTAATTAACTATGTCATTTTCAAAATAAGAAACTGCTTATAAGAAAGTGCTGTTGATGGCAAAGAATTGGCTTTTCTCTTTTTTTTTTAAAATAACCCCTTCCATTTTCTAGCATTTCCATGAAGAGTTCACTTTAAGTTGGTTTTGTCTTTGTAATCTAATTCTGACGTGTTAATCCCTTCCACAGGGCAAATAGACATAAATTCAGTGGTTCAAGCTCGCCAGTAACATTAAAAGGAAATCACTGAAGACAACTGTCTCACATGCATTTTTAAATATTGTTTAAAATCTAACAGTGTTAGGAAAATACCAAATTGTATTTCCTCACCATCCACAAATGTTACTATGTTCATTACATTTGGAAAACAAATGTCTCTAAAGGGTAACAGCCAACCATTTTGCAGTCGATGTCTTTACAAATGTCCTCACATTCTTCTGTAGAGATACATCAAGGCTAATGGATATACTCAAAGGTTAAATTCCAGGGCCTTAAACCAAGGTGGATTCCTGCTGGTTTCTAATTGCATGCCCATGGTTACCCTGGCTGGTTAGCAAACAATAGTAATGAAGCCAGTGGCAAAAGTTCAAATCCTTAGGCAGGCAATTTGTTTCTCTCTGCTTGTGGTGATGACTGTAATACTTATCCCAAGTCAGGAATTCAAAATGCGTGTCCATCATCCCAGTGCTGAAAGGGAGTACAAGTGGCTAAATTAGAGTCTGTCCTTTCTACTTAAAAAACAAATTGCAGATCACACGGGCAACTGATGGGAAGGGCGGGGTGATGTCACCTTCAAAATCAGAGTGGAATACTCCTCATATTACAACAAACAAAGCTCTTGCCAGCAGCAAGTCATAAATGTCATTAAGAATGATGATCTTAAATTAGATTCCCTATGAATAATTTCCTCATTTTTCATCTTGGACCAAGCAGCATTAAATTTACCATTAAGTAAAAACGATGCTTCACCTGCTTCCTCTTCCTGTCTCCCAAAATTGTTAGGAGGATGAATCAGACAGTGTCTGGGAGGCATGTTGAAATGATAAAATATTAATCCAAATTGTCCCCTTCTGGCTCAGCAGGGGAAGAGATATATTGAGTTTTCACAAAGCTAAAGCAACGACTGATGTTCAATTCAGCCTTGAACCACAGTTAATTCGGGGAGGGAAAAAAGAGAGAATCTGAATCCCTCTAGTGGGTGAAACAGTAGTAAGAGTAAGTTTGAATGATTAATTGGTGGTACAAGGCAGACAGCGACATCAGTAGTTCTGACATAACCGTTCTTCTATGTTCAGTTTAACAATATTCATTTTTGAATGGAATTCAGATGTTCTGCCCACGATGATACCTGTCTAGGAGATTCATTGTCTTTATTAACAACACGTCTCACCAGAGCACCGTCCCTCTGCAGTGCCTGCAAGCCATACTGGGCCCTCACGTAAGCAGGACAGGCAGAACTTCAAGGAGAGGGAAAAGCAAAGAGGACTGACCCAGGATTGAACTAGTGGTCCTCCTGTCTCAACAGAAGCACTGGGGTTACAGACATGAGCCTACCATTCCTAGCTTCAGATTAGCTTTAAACAGTGCCTCAAAACAACCCAACTCAGGCACATTTAAACATCAGAATGGTGATGTTTACAACACTATCAAGGAGTCCTATCTACTGTTTGCTCAGGGCACACTCTCTGAATAAACAAGCCTAAGAGATGCAGAGGTGCAGGGGTTATTTTGTAAGCCTAGAATTACATTTAAAAGGATTCAAAAGAAAAGGGAAAAACAAAACAAAAACTTAAACAACTTCTCTTTTTACAACCAAGGTTTAGCTGTTCATTTACCTGAGTGTGCATGATATTTGTTCTGACCCACGGGTGTAAAGTTGGTTTCTTTCCCTTCCTAAGGCTGGGCAAGGAGTGGGCATCAGGGACTTAGTTGGTGCTAGGCCTGATGAAATGTGCTTCTTCTTCCTCCATGAAATCACCTAATGCCGTGACCTCAGTTACTCTGAGGAGAGAAATAAGATTTTGCCTTTTGAAACCGATTGGGATCTGAAGCCTGAAATAAATATTCATACTTTATGTAGAAAAACACATTTCAACGGATTAGCGGTTTTAAGGGACACTGCCACGAAGCCAGAGTCATCAGATGAGTCACAATCCTCTGTTTTACACATCCCTCACTGTGAGGCAGCAGAAAATGGACCAACTCCAGAGACAATCAAAAAATAAGCATTGTACTCCGACGCTATTCCACACCGCCTCTCCATGCTCAGTCCTAGGAAGAAAAACATTGGTTTATGGGAAATGCATGCACTGTAGATCCTCCTGTGCGAGCTAAAAGGTAGGCTACAGGCGTCTAAAAAGCATCTTTTCTTCCAAAAGAAAAAAAGTTAAATCATGCTTTGACACTAAATAATCCCTGGATTTATTTCTCTAAAAGTCCTGTAACTACTAGTCTCAGGGGAAAGAAAAACTTCTTTCTATGTCAGGTATTATTGGCGCTGCTCTGCCGGACAATGCATTATTTGTATAACAGAGGTTTTGTTATTTACCCCTCATCCTGGCAAGCTAGCAATAAGATATTTTTATGAAACAAACCAAAAAGACCTTAATTGTATTTATTACGAAGAGGGCTGGTGGTATGGCTCAAGTGGTAGAGCACCTGTCTAACAAGCATGAGCATCTGAATTTAAATCTCAGTTTAGCAGAACACAGAAGTAAGATAGCTGGTCTGTAGGAACAAAAACACATTAGTCTTACTTTTAGGTTTGAGCATCAGTAATAAGATAGTTTTTCTAGGCTATACGAGAAATAAACCAAGAGTACTTTTCTTTCCATGTTTACAATGACAATGGTTTCTTTCTCTCCAAATAGCCAAAGCTGAAATATAGCGTGGTAAATATTTTCCTTGCTATAGGAAAACAACCTATAATTTTATTACTTTGTAATACATTATTTTCCTTGGTATAGGAAAACAACCTATAATTTTATTACTTTGTAATACAATTGGATATTGAGACTGATCAAGAAAAATGCTTTTCTTCACTATATGTGGAGGTAAATCAAGTAATGGAGTTCTCTTAAACACTAAATATCTATAATTCATGCTTTTCCTTTCTTCTTTCTACTTCCAGCCTTTCAACACAAAGGTTATTCTAAGAGTGGAGCCAGACCAAAGGAAACCCATGCAGCTTACAGATGAGGAGGAACAAGAAGAGGAGGAGGAGGAAGTTGGCTTAAATAAACCAGACAGATTTCATTGGATATAAAGAGAAATTCTTGATTTTATATAATAAGATGTCAAGATAGGAAAATTAGAGGTAATGAAGTATATATTCTTGAGGAATTTTCTGTAAAAGCTAAAAAAATTCTATCTGAGTTCCTTCATTCCATTGGTTCGTTCATTCATGCATGCTTTCATTCTTTTGATAGGAATGTCTGATTACCAAACAGCTGGCTACTTAAATATGTACACAGCACACTTCTCAGCCAAAAGGCAGGGATCATAAGCATGTGGTCTCTTCAGGATTCCAACATTTCTCAAATGTAATGAATATGAATATGGAGAAAATGGCTAAGAGAAGATCATACAGAGAAACGTTTTTCAAAGCAAAGACAGACTAATCCTGCTGCAGACTATCGCACAGCAGTTTTTGATGAGAAACATGTCTAAGAAATGAATGTAAGTCATTTTGTTTTATTTCAGAGGGGAAATGACCTCCAAGGGTAGTGAACTTTCCATCATCAAAGTCAGCAAAAAACTAGATGAACATCTGTAGCTTATAGTTGGTTTGTGCAGGATATCTCTAAAGGGTTCCTGATCTGAGAACTGAACAGTTGACCAACTTGTTGAGTAGTGAATTTTCTTGGACATATTCTAAAGGATAGATAATAAATCAGGGCTGTTGTTACATGTACATATGCAAACTGTGCATGTGCACACAGATGCACACACAACCCCAAAAGGAATAAACTGAATTCCAAAGCACTAGATTATATTTTTTTAATCGTAATGAGGCCAAGCACAGGTGGCTCACGCCTGTAATCCTAGCTACTCAGGAGGCTGAGATCTGAGAAACAAAGTTCAAAGCCAGCCTGGGGAAGGAAAGTCCATGAGACTTCTACTGCCAATGAACCACCAGAAAACCAGAAGTAGAGCTGTGGCTCAAAGTGGTAGAGCACTAGCCATGAGCAAAAAAAGCTTATGGACAGCGCCCAGGCCCTGAGTTCAAGCCCCACCAACCAACCAACCATCATCATCATCCTCATCATCATCATCATTGTGAGGAAACTGGAGGTGCACAAGCCACAGCTGATCAGAATAGGTTGGGCAAGGTCCTAGTAGCCTCTTGTTTGGCTGGTTGTTGTCCCTCACTGGCTGGAGTACTCGAGAGCCAGGCCAAGGAAACAGGCTGCAGGACCACTTTCAGGACATTGAACAGTGACTATTCCTATCTGGCTCTGAAACAGTCTTCTATTTTAAGCAGCAATGTTACCAAATGAAGGGACTATGTGTTGCCCCAGTCTTGGAAATATCCACTACTGTTAACACATATTTCTCCACGCCAACAACAGAAACAGTACGTTTGAAGAGAAGGGAAGGGAAGAGGTGGTCTATTTTAACATATCTATGCTCCTCGTTAATGCTGGGGGCCACAGCATCCACACATGGGGATAGAGAAGGCTGGGTCTGACAGCATGATAGGGAAGATCTGACTGACGCATCATATTCAAAGCGACGCTTCTGAGGCCACACTTCACACAACTGGGAAGCAAAGCACAACAGGAGTTTGTTTTGAGGCAAATGATGTTCATCTGTTTACCAGTTGACCACACTTTGGACAGTCAGGCTTATAGTACTTAGTGGCTAGGAAATAAGAGATCTTATCAGGGGTTAAAGAAAGCATAAATAGTTGAGGAGAAGTGCTAGTTTTCGAAGGAATAGCATCATTCCAAGCGTCACTGTCTACCTAAACAGTAACAAGAAAGGAGAAAGTTCCACTCAACAGAGTTGCTAGATGAGGCGGGAGCAGGAGTATGTGGGAATGAGAGGGTGCTGAGAATTTTCCGTGGCTATTACATCAAGGCCTTACTGCATGGCTGCCTCCAGCCCCGCCCATTCTGTTATCTATTCAAATTGCATCCAATATCTGCTACTTAGCCCTCTGCATGTGCTTGTGGAAGTCTGCAAGGTGCAACCATACTGTTGTGCTATTTAAAAATCAATTGGTTTTTCTAAAAGGAAATTATTATGCCATAGCCTTTTCTAAATCCAATTGCATAATTATCCACATAACAATAACTCCATCTATCTACGACATCATAGGGTCACACTTGCCTTTACTGTGCTGTTTGGTTTATTCATTTTTAAAAGACAAATGGGCTTATCGTTATTGTGCAATCATAATTAGTCCCCAAAGAAACAATAATTGCTGAAAATAGTATCCTTTCTTCCTTCCTTCACCTATGGTTCCACTGGGATGTCTAATTGGTAAGGCCAAGAGACAGAAGGTTCCAGCCCTCAGAACGCTGTTATCCTCAGCAGATCAGTAGCTCTGACCAGCCAAAAGAAAGAAGCTACCTGGAGCTGTGGAAAGGGCCAGGGGGAGTGCAGCCACCATATTTAATGCGTATCTGATGAGAGTAAGAAATTGATAGGTTGGAAGGGTTGAGAGAGAATGGTGAAAGGAAGTGGCATCAATCAAGATTCATTGTACTTAATAACAGATTTGTTGAATGATACAACTACTTAAAGATAATAAAACCATAATTTTTTTAAAAAGGAAGCCACTTGTAGCTATTCAGCTGGACCCAAAACAGCTGGAACCAGTCTTTCCAATCAAGAAAAAGCATTATTAAATCTATTTGGCCACATTTAGAGCTATGCTGCTCATCCACTCCATCAATATTAAAGCCAACTTTCTTTTTTATTCCCCATCTGTCTGTCTCTCCACCAGCTCCAAACTCTGAAGAGAAAGATGAGCATCAGTTCCCAGCATGCCATGTGCAGCTGTAACAGATGAAGCCTCAGAGCACCTCCTCTTCATCTGTGGCCACTGTGCTAAGCAGAAGTAGCAGGTCCTGACCCCTCTAGACTTTCCCTTTGTCTTCTGTGACTAATAGCACATATTTGCAGGCAGTTCCTAGGGGCACTCGTGGTGGCGAGGATCACAGACTAGAGTTTCTTCTATCTAAAGTTAATAACCACAGAGGGCTACTGATGTGGCTCACTGTGAAAGCCCTTGCCTAGCCTGTGTAAGGCCTGGGTTTTCATCCTCAGCACTGCAAAACAAAGAAAAACCTAAATAATGACATGAATAGCCTTAGAGAGTAGCAGCTTTTAATCCTGGATTTGTGTCACACCCTATTAAAGCAGTTCGTAACCTTTTTAAATCTGTTTTAGATTGATATTGTAAGGGCTGAGAAGGTGGCTCAGTGGTTAGAGTGCTTGCCTTGCACACATGAGGCCCTGGGTTCGATTCCTCAGCACCACATAAACAGAAAAAAAACAGAAGTGGCGCTGTGGCTCAAGTGGTAGAGCGCTTGCTTTGGGCTGAAGAGCTGAGGGACAGCGCCCAGATCTAGATTGATATTGTAAGTACGAAATTCATCCTGGAAGATCTACCTAAGCATGCATTCAAGAAATTTGGCAGCTAATTTTCTGGTTTCCTAAATTTCTTGAAATGATTGGTAACAACCCACTCAGCTTTCTCAAATCAGTGTATAATCCAATTGTCTCACCTCCAACTGGCCGCAGAGAACAGAAGGATCCTGAAGTCCTAGACAGGAGGAGAATACAGAACTCAGTAAAGCGCCCTCTATTTGCTTGATTGTTTATATATTTTACAGAACTTGGGATGGAACCCATGCCTGCACCTGCTGAACAAGTACACTATTCCTGAGCTACAGACACCTCCCCCCACCCCACCCCACCCCCCACACTTGAGAAATGTGCCTAGAACGATATCATTGACGCTTGGTATGTGCAAATCTCTTTAAGTCTTAAGATTATTAATATATTAATACTACTACTTCTGGAGCCATTGTCCTCTCCATATAAGGATAACTGATGTTGGATACTGTTTTCAAACAAAAAGAAGCCAAATGTGAATTATTTTTTTAAAAGATATACAAACCAGGCACCAGTAGCTCCTACCCGTAATCCTAGCTACTCAGGAGGCTGAGATATGAGGATTATGGCTCAAAGCCAGCTTGGGTAGGGAAAGTCTGTGAGACCCTTATCTCCCATTAACAACCAAAAGCTCAAAGTGGAGCTGTGGCTCAAGTGGTAGAGCACCAGCCTTGAGTAAAATAGCTAAGGAACTGTATCTTCAAGCCCCAGTACTGGCATAACACACACACACACACACACACACACACACACACACACACACACACACACACACACACACACACACACACACACACACACACACACACACACACTACTGTCAGGGCCCAGTAAGTACCAAGGAAATTGTAATTATCTGTCAATAGAAGAAAAAATTGCACTCTAAAAACCCAGACTGTTTGTATTTATTATAACTACACCTTTTATGTACATGTTTTGTTAAATGCAAATCAGTTTCAACCTCAAGACTCTGGGCTGATGGCCAAAGTGCTTTTGAGCCATATAGTTCAGGCATTAGTGTGGTTTAATTAACTCCAGGCACCTGACAAGAGCATTGGATCATCTTGTCACGTTTTTACCTCTTCTTGTTGACTTCCCTTTTGTCATAGCAATTAAATCCTGCCAGGCTTCCTACCAGCTGTTCTATGAACACAAAAGTTGGTCTTGAACTTGCAGGTTTCTTAGTTTTGTCTCTTGACATTGAGAAGCAGATTAATCTTTGTTGTGGGCTGTCCTGTATATTCTGGCCTGGTTCACTGTAACTGTGGCCTCCACACATTAAATGCCCATTGCCTCTCCTTTCTGTTTTTGATAACCAAAATGTGACCAGAGAGGAGACAAAAAAAAAAAAAAAAAAAAAAAAACAGCCTTTGGTTAAGTTAAAAACTTGATGGAATTTCCAGAAATCAAGAGACCAAATCAAATTTGAAACCAATAAAAGTACTAGAGAATTGAAAGACAGTAATAGGATTCTTTCCTCAGAATAGGAGTGTCAAAAGCACCCAGAATAGATGGCTGCCTGCTTTTCCCCCCTGGCTTTCCTTGACCCAAGAGGACTCTCAATATGCATTGGCTGGAAATTCTTCCTAATGACCCTCTAGCCTCTGTTGATTGTTTTACAACCATTCTTCTCGTGGTGTACTATGCCATCTTTTCTGGCTCTAATCTGTTTTGTAATAGAAGTAGCATGCGTTCACGGGGAATACCAAATTTATTACATTTAGACACATAATCAATGACTGGGTTTTCTTAATGAAAGGAAATGAGGTGACCAGGAAAGGGAATAGCTTAAGTAAATGTGCCAGGCGAACATCAATTTACTTGCTTAGTACAACTGTTAGCTCAGTGCTTCTAGAAAGTTCTTTTCCAAGTTGAGTAACTCAGAGATAGCCCTCCGGATGCCAACTGTTCATCCATGGAATGAGAATCTGGCCAAATGCAATACAGAGAATTGATTTTCCATGTACCTACCTCAAGAGTATCCTCATTCAAATTCCTCCATCTTGCTAATTTATGGCAGAGCTCCCTGCAGCTCCACAGCCAAGATGCAATAAGGCAGCTCCGTAAGAGCCACCAGGGAGTATTTATGAAACATGCAAAAGGAACAGTCCCTTTATTTCCTTTCCCTAGAGCCTTATTTCCACTCCAAGGTTTTCTCCATTTCTTCTAGTTCGAACAACTAAAAATTGGCTTGAAGAATAACTTGCCACTACAGGTTCCTCTCCAAGCAAAATGGTTTTCACTTTCACTTTTATGTTTCCCCAAGATGCATGTGATTCCTTTCCAATTCCAGAAATCCAAAGGAGCAAAATGCGCTCCTATTTTTCACCTACATTAATTAATTCTAAAAAATGAAATTTAAAAAATCATTTCTCTAATTCCGAAGCATCCAATTCAAAGTCATTGACAGGAACTCATCTACTACATTCATTAGAAACTCACCTTTCTCTCTCCTCCTCTCTTGTGATGCTGCCTTCCACAAATTTGGTGGTTGTTTCAGAGCATGCTGAACAGACACAATCAATACCTCATTAAGTTGTTTCAAATTGCTGAACTACAGCTGTTTCAGAGCCCAAGCATGAAATATAATTTCATCAATAGAAATCCAGGCTATGTCTACACAAAGACAAAACAATTGAGCAATTTAGTCAATTTTGTAAAGAAAAAAAAAAGCCAATCGCTTATTTGGTATTGGATAGGCCAAACAATTATGTGCCTGATATTTAGAAATCACTTATTTTGGTCACATGTACAGGCTATAGAACTGACCAAGGCCTATCATGATTTTCCTGCTCTGTTTCTTTAAGTTCTTTTAAGACTACATGTAGAAGATGCCTATTCTAGTCTTTAAATGCTGTTAAGAAAATTCCACTTGAGCATTAGCACATTCTTTTTCTGACTTAAGCCTGAGAATGAGCAATTATTAATCAGTGAAGACTGAACTTTTACTGTGAATAAAATTTCAAAAGATCCTAAGACATGGACCCCTCCTTCAAATAGCTCATGCTGTTTATGAGGAGCCAAGGCCCACATCCCTGGTGTAAAACAAAACTGTTGACACCTCAATGCAGAAGATGCAGCTCATTAGTAAAGCTTGGGGGTTGAAAGTGATGTTGGAGGAATTCGAACAGAAGCAGTCACGAAGGTCTTGTAACACTTTTTAAAAACTTGTTATTGGGGCTGGGAAGGTGGCTCAGTGATGGAGCGCTTGCCTTGCATGCATGAGGACCTGGGATCAATTCTTCAGCATCACATAAGCAGAAAAAGGCAGAAGTGGCACCGTGGCTCAAGCACCGTGGTAGAGCACTCGCCTTGAGCTGAAGAGATGAGGGACAGCGCCAAGGCCCAGAGTTCAACAACAACAACAACAAAACCTGTTATTGAACTAATTACTGTGAATAGTGAAAACAGCATATATTGAAGACCCATTATGCAGACAAAGAATAGACTGTGCCAATTTGGCAAATAAGAAAAGTAACATTTGGGTTGATTAATTAGTCCAACAAAGGTCGTGTGGCTAGAATTGAACTAAGAAGGACTGATTAATAGCCAGTGACACTAAAAGCAACAACAGCCCTGGTGGCCCATCTCTTTGCTTAAGAAGGGATGTGAAGACTAGCGTTTGGGAAGCTTCCTTGTGATAGTGGACAAAGACGTATATATCTATATGCCCATCTATACCTATATCTGTATCTGAACCTTGGCAGGAAGATTAAGTAATAACGAATAACATAACAAAACAATATAGGGATTTTCTTAAAAAATATATTGTATTTGCTAATAGCCAAAACACAAAATTAGCACAAAACTGACATAAGGTTTAAGTAGTAATGGACCTTAGTTTTCTATTGTCTCCGTTGATGCTTCTTAAAATATTGTTGTAATTGAGTTGGCACCTAAAAGGACAACTTTCACATTTTTGTTTGGAAATTAACGTAACTGTCTCTGCAGGAAAACAAGAAATTCCACATATCAAACAAAATAGCTCATGTCTCCCTATGGTATCTATTTACATAAGAGCCATGGTCCAAATGAGACAGCCATACCCCCTACAGTCCAGCGATTCCAAACCAGCATATACTGAAGCCACTTCTGATGCTCTGGACCACTTTGTTGGGTAGAAGCACATGCCAATTTGTGATGATCTCTCTACAGTCTCGGGTTGTTGGTCTCAGGGACCAGGAGTGGATGAGGAACTTGAGGAGGTAGAAGGGACCTGGTTAAGGTTATATGAGAGCTCCCAGAAGATGGCTAGTTTTGAGGGATGTGTGTATGTCAGGAATGTGAGTGTCTCTATGTATGGGTGTCTCTAACTGCTCACTAGAGTGTTATCCCCTCACTGTGGCTTTATACCAAAAATAAGGTCTTAAAAAATTATGTTGTCAGGTGCCAGTGACTCACACCTGTAATCCTAGCAACTCAGAAAGCTAAGATCTGAAGATCACAGCTCAAAGATAGCTCAGGGCAGGAAAGTTTATGAGACTCTTATTTCCAATTAACCAAACCAAAAAGCCAGAAGAAGAGCTGAAGCTCAAGTGGTAGAGTTCTAGCTTTGAGCAAAAACCTCTCAAAGATAGCAGTTAGGCCCTGAGTTCAAGCTCCATGACTGGTACCCAAAAAGTCAACAAATAAAACTGAGTCTAGGAAGATGCATATGAGAAAATTAAGAGAAGCCAAGTCCCTGCACGAATCCAAGCAAGTTACTAGGTAATTACTCTTCATCTCTCATACAATGATCACATCATTCCTTCAGTCATAGCCCACCATATACACAGTAGCATCTTCCAAAGCACTGTAAACTTGTGCAATTACTGTTGCCCAAAGTATAGCTTAATACACATTTGCAGTGGATCCTGAGGTTCTTAGAAAATATCAGCTGCAAAGCCAGGTAGGATGTATACTTGGAGTGTGGTATTCGTGGTGTCCTTTGATCCAAAACATTTCTTCTTAACTTTATATATTTTCTTATGGAGTACACTTACATTTTGGTTCAAGTATGAGAAATTCTCATTTTTCCATTTGTTGGTGAAAGAATCAATATTCTAGAGGTTTGGGACCTATTTTTGCCATCAATTCTTTGGCAACTTAATCAATTATGTTTATAATCAAGGAAAAGTTCCATACCAATTATAGTTTGGGCAAGATAAGAATGTCGTTTTCTCCACGCATATAGCAGCCTTCCCAAACACGACACCAGATTCAGAAGCTGATTAAATCAAGTGCAAGTGTAGGTGTTGTATTCACAATGTAGGAAATATCCTTTCCTTATTCTGGCAACCTTTCCTAACTAATCTGCCAGATTTATTGCATATTTTCCACTCTGCCATGCAGATAATCCTCCTCTTCCAAACATTCCGAAATCAATATCCTCCAGCAAATAACTAATTTTAAATAACATCATAAGGCCTTCCTTTCAAGCTGCAACCTAACCTGTGCAAGTCAGAGGAAATCAAAGCCAGAAAGCATTATTTTTGAAGTGGGAAAATAGTTAGGACTCAAAGTATTATTCTATGTTTATAATAACTGTCTGGTTTTCATTCCCTTTTAACAAAATTGCATTAGTCATGGGTGAATCTGTTCCTGTCTTTTTCTTCTTCTTCTTTAACACCTAATGATTCATTGACAGGGCATTATTTTGTCATAGAATGAAAATTTACTAGATTTAGGAAGCATCAGCTAGTTTTAGCTTGGTTCACCTTTGTCTCTGTTTAGCAGGAAATACTAAAGGAATAATCATTGGTTGGAAAATGAAAACGAAGAGCTAAAAGATCATTATTAAGATGTCCATAAAGAAATCCCTGAATTTTTTCCTTCTAATATTTTAATAGAAAGATACTTTAAATAAAGAACTAATAGATTTTTTTCAAAGGCTCTAAGTCTCCTTGTTACATGGCTTAAGTATTTAGGGACAAGTGGGATCTAAACCATATCCTTAGACTATATTCTTGTTTTATCCTCTTCTGAAATAAATTTGCTGAAACAAGAAATGCATGTGCCCTTTTATTACTGTTTTTTTCCTTTTAAGCTAAACCTTCTCTCAGTGATCCATGTCTCCATCTTCCAAAAGCACAACTTCAATTTCTACTTTGAAAAATGGGCTCAGACCATTTTTGTCAACACACATTCTTCTTCACTAGACATTTAATTTGTTCTGCCCTTTCTGGAAAGTATCCCCATCTTGGGGTCTGCCAACAGCCTTAATGGAGCAATTCCTTGAAGTTCTGTCAGGTTTGCAGTAGTAGCAGCAGGCAGCATCAGAAACAAAGAGGACACCTGGCCCTCAGACCATGAGAACTCCCTCTCTGGAGTTCTCCACCCAGTGTCTCTCTCCAGGTTCCTAACCAGCGCTGAGATATTCATTTCTTCATTATCTGGGAGCAGCTGCTGAGAAGAGATTGGCCAAAAAGGATAACCTTAGTGCCTATTTGGGCGATGAGCTTTAAAACTGCTTTGAACAGACAGACCTCTGGATGGATAGAGAAAACAGCAAATGAGAAATGTTAAAATGTTAAATTCTCAATGGCTCTGTGGGAAGATCAGTGGTCAGCTTATGCAAATGCTGTCCTAAATTGCTTACAAATCAGAGCTGTGGAGTGGACTGTTTTCTTTACCAGACTTTTCTCGTATTTCGCACCCACTGCTTTGCCTTCCCATTCTAACTGCTGTGCTGATTGCTTCCTGAGAGGACCCATCAGCAGGCCTCAGCACAGGCAGAGAAAGAGGTTTATGTACATTATGGGTCAGCTAGTGTCAAGTGTCATGAATTAATTTATCTCAAGAAAGCCACTTCCTGTAACTGTCAAACTGCAAAACGTAGTGAAATTGTCACCTAATCTGAAAGACAGTATATAAAACAAAATGGAATCAAACATAAAATTCCTTACTCATTTAGATCAGAGTTCCCTGAAGTTGTTTGTGTCATGTGATCTTTTGGCATTTTGATGAGTACTTAAGAATCAGATTGAAGTTTGTTTGTTTGTTTGTTTTTGTTTTATTTCAGTCATGGGGCTTAAACTCTGGGCTTGCATATTCTCCCTAAGTTCTTCAGCTCAAGGCAAGTACTCTACCACCTGAGCCACAGCACCACTTCCAGTTTTCTAGAGGTTTAGTGGAGATAAGAGTCTCCTGGACTTTCCTGCCTGGGCTGGCTTTGAACCATGATCCTCAGATCTCAGCCTCCTGAGTAGCTAGGATTACAGGCATGAGCCACTGGTACTCAGCCAGATGACTGATGTTTTGAGTCTGTGTGTATGTATGTGTTTGCCAGTCCTGGGGCTTGAATGCAGGGCCTGGGCACTGTCACTGAGGGTTTTTTTGTTTTCATTTGTTCCTGGGTGATAGCGCTTTACCTGTTGGGCCACAGCTTTACTTCTAGCTTACTAGTCATTTATTGGAGATAAGAGCGTCATGGTCTTTCCTGTCCAGAATGGCTTCACACCAAGATGTTCAGATCTCAGCCTTGTGAGCAGTTACAGCATGAACCACCAGCACCCTGTTGATATTTTGGGCTTTTTTAAAAATCACAAAACAGTATTCTAAAAGAAATATTGAAATATCATTACTGGATATTTTCAATTAGAGTTGGAGGACTTCAGATTTCCAGTCTAACATGTAAGGACCTTAGAAGGCATCAACAAGTAACAATTCAAACTAACTTGAAAAACAATAATATCTGTTAAATCCATCAGAGAACTGAAGTTAGAGGGCAAACTGAT